CTGCCCCGATCACTCGATTCCCCTCTTTGTGTATTTAAGTTTATTTTAAACGTGCTCAGAACTTCACTATCGATGTTTACAGCGGACGAGTGAGAATTTCACCAAAGTTCCGTTCAGCGATGGAATGCAATGAATTCGATGAATGTCTTGAAATAGTTTTAAGACTCAACTGATTTATCGACATTATTCACCACTGGCGGATGACTCATTCCTGCGTACATTCCTAGATCATCGACCGTCAACCTGGAGCAATAGCAAGTTTTTGCTAACCAAGTAATTAGTGTCGTTGGGTGGCCGCTAGTTTTTCACAGTCATCAACTACTGCAGAGGGGTGGGGACTGAGAAGCAGATCCATGTGGGACCTAACTGTTCCCTTTGTTTATCCTCACTCGTTATCGACCTTGCTGGGACAAAGGCGTTTGTAAGATCACATTATTTCAAAATGCTGCTATCTGAAATGCCATTTGAATATGGGAATAACGGCGGATACAGGATGAACTGTCATCGTGCCCTGGCTGCGACCATCTGTGCTGGTAATGCCTGTTTCCAAATATACATTTGAAATGGACGAGTTGACAGGGGTTGCCCTTCACGTTAACAATGGGTAATTCTAGTTTTTCAGAGCCTTCCTGGAAATGAGCGGTTTCGTACTCTTCGCAGGCGCCGCACTTTGAATCACGTCCTAATCAATAATAGATGCTCGATCTAGCGAAATATGCGCAGAGTGCTTTCGATCCCTGTTTTTCTAAGACTGTGATTCCCAAGGTAGCTGTACCTAGCGCACCATTCCCCTAGCTAAGTTTGTACACAAACAGCAGGTTCAGGACAATAAACATCTACACAGTCTTATCCAGTCATGGAGTTGTTTCATGCGGAGTAATGAAAACTCTTGCCCAACGACCAATAGTTATACTTACCCAAAAATCATTTTGAAAAGCTCCTCAAAAGATCACAGCGCTGATCTTCCGCATATTTACTTTCACTCGAAAGCCCAAATAAGAATGTACACGGCGGTATCCCCATTCAAAAGACCCTTCAAAGAATTTTCCCAAGCAAAGTGGCACAGCGCGGTCTCCACAATCGAAGAACTGTCCTTTCCTTTTCTCTACAATTTCATAAATTCGAGGAGTAAAGTCAAATGGTTTAATTAATTCGTTTCCAAATATATCCCGCACTGACATATAATCGCAAGCAAAAATGAATATGATTAAAACCAATATTGATCACAATTAGATAAGCCGCTATTTTCAACTAGCGATCTTCAGAACTATTCCCAGCTTCCGCGAACCTGAAAACCACATATTAGTATAATAGAACAAAAAAGTTATGTTATAACTTTTTCCCCAACAATCTTGGATAAACGCACCTCCTCAATCTTCTCTGTCTGATCCTTTCGTCTTCGGGTGATCGGACAATCGTTTCCTTTGATGACGATGGGACCTCTGGAGACTCTCGATCTTCAGGAGTTGGTGACTCCGTCGCCACACCAGCTTTCGATAACCGCGAAGAGGACGCTGAGGTCCCGAATAACGACTTGGACGTTGATGGTGCATCAGTCGTCGTGTTCTGAACAAGTGTAATCAGAAAAATTATAAGAAAGGCGATACATTCCTTCTGATTCATATGCCACTCAAAGTTGGTACAGAAGCAGCTTAATTAAGTTATACGAATAATAAATGACGACTTGGTCATTTCTATACATTCCTTTCCGTTTCTATACAAAACTTAAGGATGTAAGTAACATTTTCATAACTGCAGTCAAGTGAAAAAAAGTGGATGAAATTCGGACCACACTAGGAAGAAACCACTACAGCATAGTCCACAGGGCACATGCCTCCATTCATTCCACCGGGTTGTTAAAATGTGTGATGATTTGTAGAGACTACCTCTTCTTTTATTTCGCATACCATTGGGCATCACAAGCTATATTTTTCGAATTTGTTTGAGAACCATCAACCACATCGGTCCAAGGCAATAGCTCAAAATTTTACTCATAGGTTAAACAAGGCTTTTTCGCTGACTTTGGTCAAAGCCTGGAAAGTGCCCCAACTCGACCTTCAGGGATGAGTATCAAGGAACTTGTAGTAGCAATTGGTGCACTTCATACACGCATGGTCGCGGGTTCAAATCTCAGATAGATATCTGTCTAAGCCAACCTAGCCTTCCATCCCTCCGGGTCAATTGATTGGTACCACACTCGTCTGGGAGGATAATAGCACTTACTTGTACATCGGCTGGCCACCGCAAGTCACTGGTCACGGCAAGTATATTCTACATACGCATTCAGTACGCCACTACGATCATGAAGGTCGAAGGCGTGGGCGCATCGCTCACACGAGATTGATCAAGGTCCCAAGACTCTATTCTTCATGAGATAGACTCAATTTTGAGGATATCCGACAAAAGGCAGCATTCCTTTTCGTCGCACAGAGCGCATTAGCTGAAATCCCAGTTAAGGGTTCATGGGTTCAAAAATTAGGCAGGGAATGTATGTCCGTGCTATGCCGAAATATGATAGCTTAAATAATGTAAATATCGTGGTTTAAAGACTACAAACAGAGGCTTTCAGGCGTGGGAAGTTTTCATGCTGTTTTTTTTTTTTTGATATAATGCTTCAACGCAATCACTGAAATACGGCAAAATGAACCAAAACCGAGTCAAATGAATAAACCTATGTCACCTCAGTTTTCGCTCCGTTCTCCTGCTTTGATATATCCTTTGTTGCGCTACCCTCTTGTGTATCTTTGATATCCTGAGCAGACTCGCCTTGGGTCACGTCCACTGTACTGGCTCCACCGAAGGTCTGGTTTGGATTTTGCGCAAACAACGTTTGCCATGCAGAATCAGAGGCAGCAGGATTTGGCATTGGCACCGGCATCGGAGCGGTACTAAAAGAAACAGTAAAAAACTCAAAAACAACAGCCTCTACTTAGTACTAATAAGTTGAAACTGAGAACACACCCAAAAATGGAGCTGTACTGGTGCATTTGTGCCACCGCTGCGTCCAACAACGTTGAAATATCTTGAAGCATCTTTATGCGACGCTCCAGTGCGGCGCGGCTTTGCCCTAAATAGTGGGAAGATTCATCATTTTAGAATAATGACTGTATTAAAAATGCCCAACTCTTACCTTCCATAGCACGGAGGTCTTCTTCGGTTAATTGATCAAGATTTGGTGGAGGACGAGGCATTTCCATTGGGAATGGAGGAAGTGGAGCCATGAATGGAAACGATGGGAATTGAGGCTGTAATGTTTTCATTCATTTCATCATCCAGATATATGGAAGATAATTCGGTACCATGTTTTGAGGAAATGGTGGTGGAAAGCCTGGGAAAGGACCTGGGGGAAACCCAGCTGGCTGTTCACCCACCGGTATATTAGGGAACATTCGCGGATCAGCAGCACGTCCCTCCCCTTCTGTAGCAGCACCAGCAGCAGGACCTGTCTGTAACAACTTTGGATTGTTTAGAAATTTCAAAATCCCAACAGCTTGTATCTTACATTATCCTGAGTCGGTGGCCGTGGCTGAGGAACAGCAAACTGATGAGCCATAAATGGAAAAAGATTTGGAGGTAGTCGAGCATTAACAGCGCCATTTTGAACAGGAGGATTATTTGGCGCTGCGGGTGGTACAGGTCCATTTGCTGCTGCTCGTTGACCAGCTGCGGCTGAAAAGACTTGATATGTCACAATGTGCAACGAGAAAGTTTCACTTTCAGGGCACTTTGAATTTGTAATTTCCCAGCTTACGTTGAACAAATTTCCATGATGATATACGTTTGTCAATATGGAGTGTGTCTTGCCAATTATTCATCACCAACCCACGCATCTATTTTTACATAAGAGGTTGAAAATTTAGGGATTGAAAGATTTGAAGAAATATGTATAAGGCAAAGGTTGACCTCGTTATATAAAACTGCTCTCGTTATATTTACACCTTGCACAACACAGCAGCCCTCTTTTCTCCATTTACCTTCACCCAGTGACCTTCCCATCGAAAATCCATTGCCCTACCTCTCAAGGAGCCCTCTTTATTATAATGCTCCCTATAATTCAACTCTCCATTCGTCTCAACATGGGCTAAATAATATCTTTGCCTCCTGAGGTCATTACCATCCACACCACATATTCAAGCTTTCACTTCAAATTATAAGTTATTTTCTGCTTTTCATCTCTGCTAGCAACTCAGATACGTAAGAGCTCTATCCTTAGGGAATATAAAGGTTGCTTCAATTAAAAATACAAGTCGATTGAACTAAACTCGATCGGATGCACCTCTATAGAATTCATTCTTTGCCTACGGCCCGACGAGTTTGTAGGCTACTCCCCAGCTTTGTTCTTACTTTTCCGTATCACTGCTTCTTTTTGCTTCCTTAACTTACATTTCCATTCACGTCTTTTATTACAAATTAACATCTCCAACGTCGACCGCTTCCCTCGCAGAAAAAATTTAAATAATTTAATTTAAGCCTAATTTAAGCTCAAATGTTTCCAAAAACGGAATCATTAGCCTACAGCAGCACTCGAGAAGATTTTCACTGATTTGTTTGGCAGTTGTAATTAATGAGAGGCGATGATTGCAGTGGCGGTTTCCCGGAATCGGACAGTTACTGACAAAGACAACTTCAAAAAACTCTTTATAGCCAAACAGAAACCAAAAAGATAGTGATGAATTCAGTGGGAGAAGTAGACATACGTCCCAGAAAGCAATCTCAAAGCGAGTACGCACTATTTGGTGAAGCGAACTTCTCTATACCTATGCATTGGGCACCCAATCTTCTCAATATTCCAAGGCAACGAAGTTGTTTTAAACTCAATCCGTGTATTTCGGTGATGACGAGAGAAAATAGACAATCACCGCTTAAATTCACTGTAAATTATCATATCCCGAGGATTTCAAAAAATTGAAGTTAAGATTGCTTTTAAGCACTTCCGCTCATTGACAATAACGGAGCCAGAACTTGAACAGTTCGTTTCCACCACTTAACTACTCTGGTCACTAGAACCACCTTTCCTTTTCGGTCGCAACCTTCTGTGAATGCCGGTACTGATTCTTTGCAAACTTACGAAAATCATCTAGAAATAATACTGTGAACTTTTTCGTGAATACAAGCTTAAGCGACATCAAGGTATATTCACCTTCGTCCATGTCCAAAGAGCACCTAACCAATAAATCTGAAGCCATACCTAAAATATCCGTCCTGCAAGTCGGACATGTCTGCTGTCGTTGGAACCAGCTACGTAGACAATGTGTATGAAAAACATGACCACATGGAAGTCGCTTCGGGGTTGACTCGGGTGTCATTTCATCTCGACAAATGATACACGTGGCATCCATTGTAGCCAGATCCTCGGCTGACACAATTGGGAACAAGCTGAAAAAACATAAGTAGTGTGCATCTGGAAAGGGTGCAAAAGACGGCGCGATCATTCCATATCGACTGCTTTTTCATGAAAGAATGAAAATATAGAAATACAACCATGAGAACGCTAGGTTGAGTCACAATTTCTCCAGAACGTTCGGAATTCCCATGAACAAAAACAGATATATAAATTTGAAAGACGAAGAAATCGTGACTTTTCGATTATGAAATAAAAATAAGCTGCCCTTTGTTGCGGGACACTTGACTGAGAAGATAGCACTGGGAATTTGATACTCATCTTCGACGACCTCTGCGCAACTGTAAACTGTAAACGCTTCAAACATATTTTGCCAAGAAACACTTCGTTCAGCCCCACTGATAGGTTGAGGAAAGACAGCGAGCAATACAGCTCGGGTAACCGGTGTCAATAAAATAAAAAGTGCTCTGGCTTAACAACGAATCTCACGCAGCACAAAGAATGCGGACCTAGACATGGAACAGCGTCTTTCCCAAGTGCTACAGCTGGTTACCCATCGGTCTCGTACCCGTAAATGTGCATGTTTCCTTTGCAAATTGCTCGTGAGGGCTCTTTTATCGTTCCACCCCACTTTTCTCTGCAATCCCTATACGACTGGATGGCATCAAAGACTTAAAATATAAATTTTAAATAAGCAACGTAGCCTGACTTGTTCATAGCGTTGATAGCTCTTCGACTCAAGATGACATCGTTGATTGCCTTGTGCAATGCTCGCAAGGAGAGATAGAACGGTCGCACAGAAAACAGCGGGAACGAGTGGACACGTAGCATAACAGCCGCGAATAATCCGTATAGCACACACCGGATTAGATCTAAAATTACGTCATCTTGAAATTATCAAATCTTAATGTAAAAAAATGCAAAAAAAACGTAAAAGGGAACCAACTGATAAAAAGCTCTGCATAGAGCAGGTAAACAGCTTTGTTCTCCCATGCTTGCGCGGTTCGCAAGTCATGCATATGAAGAATGTATTTGATGGTTACATGAATCACTAAAGCCATCAAGATAGCATACCTACAATTGAAATCGATCAGACTAACGGCCGGAGCAGTACAGCGAATAAATCGACCAAAGCAACCAGAGCAAATAATAAACCTACTCGAATCCGAAAACTATTTGGGCGCTAGCTCCTTTCAGTAGTGTTGTGAAATATGCGTGAGAAAGTAGATAAGAATCTGTAGCCCCAAGGAAAGCCACAATGCCTGAAATTGAGTCTCATTGAAAATCTTCCATTCGCAGTAATCGTTACAGCTGTTTCAAAGGACACAAAATACAATTGGTATAGGTTTAGGCTACTGCCGTTCCCGTAAATTCGATTTATGCTCACAAGGGTATAGAGCCCGTGCCGTGCCATTCGGTAGAATAAGGTTGTAGGACATATTTTTCACTAGCTTAGGGAAATCCACGGTATGGCATGGGGAATACTCCTTCTCCAAAAAATAAAAAACAAGTGAGAAACTTACACATCATTCGAATATGAAATTTCAAAGTTATCACAGGACTGCGTTCCATCATATCAACGCGGTCATCCGCCAACCAGTGGAAGCTTTTTACAAACAGTAATCCGACAAACTGCATGACGAATAATGGCGAAAAGTCATCTCGAAATACAGTAAATGCTAAGCAAGTCTCTAGAACTGCATGCCATGCACGTTCTGATAAATGCTGAAATGTTAATATTATAATTATTAAAGCAAGCTGACATCCATTATTCATTATGACAAAAAATGTCGTGGCTAATGGATTCAGTTAAAAACATGAATAATATATGAAAATGTGAAGAAAATACGCTGTACCCAGAACATCAAACTATGGCTGAAGGTAAAAAGATAATGACTCATAAATTTCTGTAATTAGGGAGAAAATGGCTGTACAGCCCTAACAAATTAGTTTAAGGAGGGAAGCAATTGGTACCTCAGCTTCTGAAGCTCGTAGTTCACCAAAGAAAATCTTTCTAACCATTTGAAAAAGTATATACACCAGGATAAGTGCTTGCACATAAATGACCTGAAATAATAGCGAAAAGACTTGAATTGAAGACATTATACATATATACATACTTGCTTCTTTGAATAAGCTTCGCAAAAGATTTGGAGAACCCTTATTACATTTGAAGACTTTAGAATTTAAAAATTTTAGGATTCTCGCTATATCTCAGTAAAAAAAATAATTGCATAGACACTACATCAAAAAAGGAAGAATTTTTACAAAAGCAAAGTGAAGTACGGGGAAACTAATTCAGTAAAAGACTCACCATCATACTAGCATTGCTCTTCGTTATGTAAACAATTGAAGGATAAAACTGCTTGTTTACGACGAATGCATTCGTAACTGTTGCTGCAGTGGCCACAAATGAGGCCAACGCAAGAAAAGCCGGAGAAATATGCATGAGAAGTTCACAGTTTCAATGTAGTCTAGAATAGTCGTTCAGTCCTACAAAACTATGACCATTTCGCAGTTACGAAGTGAACAAGGATTCATGCCGAGGAACTGGACGACTGGAAAAAATAACGCAACATATGCTCAGGCTGAGATAATTTGTTGTGCCATCAGCAACACTGGCTTAGCCAGTACCAGTCGCAAAAACAAGTCAAACACAACATCGTATAGGAAAAAGTCGTATGACGAAGGTGGGATCTCGCCTCCAAGTTGAAGATGTAGAAGTAGCAGCAGTAAAGTGGTACAGTTTAAAGATATCTATCAAGTTAGCTGTTTGTAAAGCACATATGCTTTGCAAACAACTCACTTGACAGATATTCTTGAAATCTCACTATAGCACACAGAATGAAAAGCTCTTGAAAATATCTCTGGGTAAATATGCGAACACTTGAACCTTCACGAACAGAGCCTTCCATGAACTGAAGCACTTCAAACAGAAATAGTTCTGTGGTCAATCCACTTCTTTGATTAACAAGTTGGAGAAATAAATTAGTTTAATATCGATTCAAAGCATCACAGATTTGATAGACATCTAAACTCTGATAATACATTGCAGCGATAAAGTCGAAGTCAGACGAGGTTATTCACATCACGAAAGAATGGTTTGCTTTAGACACTATTTTAATATACAGATAAAAAGTAACCGGGTCTGAGAGGGTAAGCCTCTGACACTAATCAGTCGAGTTGCATTCAGGCTACGTGGAAGAATGTTTGTAAGACACGCAGGAAACCAGTTTAACGATCGAAGCATGCTATCCTCCCTCAAAACATGAGCAAACCGACTTCGTACGTAAAATCATTACTTTTCCCAGCAACTAGAAACTTCTACATCGAATTAACTTATCGAAGAAATACAAATATCATAGAAACGATAAAAATGACCATATAGACTAATTTTCTAATTATGTAAGAAATAGTACGAAGATTATAAAGAAGACCATGAGCACACCAAAAACTTTGATCATCAACCAACGGTTTTTACTAATATTATGGAAGTACTTCACCAATTCTGTGTGCGCAGCATCAATATTTATCGCTGTATCTTCGACATTAGAGTCGATTCTGAAATAAAGAAAAACAAATGCGGCGGGATTGAATTTCAGGGTTTCATGTACGACAGCATTGAAAGATCCATGCAAACGGTGCCACTTAACACGCATCATGCAACCAAACCGTTAAGATGACGTTGCATAACGTTTGTTAGATTGCGAAATGAACAGCAACGTGACGCATTTGACAAGTGAGACGTGCAGGTAGCGTTTCCATGGAGTTAGACATTGTTGCATACTAGTACTCACCGCGTAATCATTTCGCCTTGTTCGCTAACTAAGCTCGCCAACTGCGCAAAAATTTGACCCAATTCCGATATGGAGCCTTCTATTGTCTCCATTGCGGAAGAGCGCGCCTGTGCATATGCATTCGACTGATCCTGGAGTGCTACCTGTGAAATGAAAAGTCGATAGAAACTACTCAAACCAAATCAAGCATAAGAAGTGGAACGAAATCACAGTTTCTGCAGACATTCGTAGCCTAACCTGTTGTTGTACACGCATCTGCTCCATCGCACCCATATCCAACGAAACGCTGTTAACGCGGGGAACACCGTGCTGGTTATCATCGTCAAGCAATCGAGAACGGACTAAAAAATAGCACTGATCTACACCAGACTGGAAACTACATTAGTTTTTCATATATCTTAAACTCTCACACAGAAAGGTAGTTTCCAACGCTCGTACTTTTCATTTATGTTTTTTTTGGAAAAGGAGTACAGAAGGATGTATACTTCATCTGAGTTTCCTCCCCGAAACAGATTGTGACTCCGAATTGAAACAACGACAAAGAAAAAGAAATAAAACACAAAATAAACCAACAGAAGATCCAAAAACACTTGGTACCTCACCGTTTGAACCCGAAGACGAAGAGGGGAAGGAAATAGGTAATGGATCAGCGTTCGAAAACTTCTTCCTCCTGCTGTTCTGGTGTTTTAAATTCTGAAGAGAGCTGAGAGTCAGAATGGTTGCGCAGCTATGAAAAAACGAACCTCTGTACTGATTTCCAAAACACTCTGGAAATCCTTACTAACACTGGCCAATTTGGATTGCAGACCAACGACGACTAGTTGGCTGAAAATCGGAAACTCAACAAAGTTTTTGTGAAAAAAGGTAACAAATAGCAAATCAAAACCCACGAGTGACCCGTCCCTTGATTTTTCACTCCAGAATTACGTTCTCTGGAAAACTCTTGCAAAGCGGCTATTTGTTTGTTCAAGCTAGTAATGTCCTAAAATTTAGTGATCAAAAATTATGAGGGTAAAGGGAGAAAGTCACCAGATGAATGAACGCTTAAAAATTACCTCTTTGACAACTCTGGAGAGGTGATCCATGTCACTTTTTTCATCGAAAAGACTTTTCTTCCTAGCTATTTCTGCTAATCTTTCCATTTTAGCACATGTTTGGCTCAGATCTCTTCCAATCCTTCTGTAAAGAAAAACACGAGTTAAGATTATTCAAACTAGAGAACATCATATAAAAGGAGAGAGTGCGCTAACGACCCCTTATTTACTCGACAGACAAAAGGAGAACTTACTTTGCCAACTGGTTGAAGTGAACTGAATTATTCAGAATTTCCTTTTTGGAATGTGGAACGAATCCATTTGAGTGGATCTTCATCTAAACAATAATGTGCGTGAAATATATCCAAATCAAACTATGTAGGATTGATTCACTATTTGTACACATTGCACTCCCTACGACCGATTTTAGAAGGTTACTACGTGCTCTTGTACAGGGTGATTATGAGGGCCGCAGCATTTTTGAGCGTTTTTTATTGGCCATACATGAACAGCCTTTTCCAAAACCACAGCACATCATCGTCTATTTTGACCGACTTCTCCGAAAGCTTAATAGATTTCACAGCTATATAACACTGGACAACAATGCTCAATCTTCGAACATGAGCAACTTGTGAATCTATGCCTGACGAACAGCGTAATTGAGACTAAAAGTAATACAATCTTCGAGGAACGATATGAAAACGACGATGTGGACCGCAACGGCAGTATTTCTGGAGCGCTCAAGAGCGGTAATCGCAAGAGATGGAGGGAATCTCGAAAACTTTCAACGATCGCCATATGTAAAGTTTATTAAACTGGCAAAATAAGTTGACAGAGTTGAGCACACTTAGAAGTCATTCCGAGGCATTCATGAGTCACCTTTTTGCTAGGCCTCAGCACCTCGAAAAACCGCTTTATGTCGTTGCCTTCCGAGGCTCATGCGAAGTGCATTGTTGACTGGTGGAAAATAATTAAGAGCTATAAGACCTAGTTCTTCAAACATTCTCACTAAGCGGACGTGAATATGCAAGATTAAACAAACCTGTAGAGATTTACATGTCGTCCTGAACTCGGCGGTTCTGTCTCTTGACGGCATTGTGAAACTGAGTGAGTCCAATGGGTCACCAAATACGCTTAACGATGGAAAAGTTTTTTCAGCGGTGTCCTCTAACAATGACTGCTCAGAAGGATGATACAGAGGAGATGGAATGGAGGAGATGACTTCCTAAAATGCTTGGAATCAATAACGTGCGCGCATAAACTGGAGTGCAGAATCCATCGATTCTTAGCGGAGATAATATCCAGTGGAATGCAGCAAGATTGGTTCCACTAATAAATGAACAGAACCCAATTAGAAGAGGAAAAGTAACAAAATTGCACCCTTTATAAACTAACCTGTGCAGAATTCCAAAGTTGGGTAGGAGAAGCTCCAAAAACTGTGCTACTTAGCGAAGTATAGTTTCCAAAAAACGACGGAGAAACACTAGCTGATTCCTTTTTTGTATCGTGATCAAAATCGGCAGATGTGTGGGTTTTGGAGCTGGAGTCGTCAACACGTCGCCGTGATCTAATGAAGGAATCCGACATTCGACATCAACCTCACTGACTAAAAAGATATCACATAAATTAGATGATATCCGGAAAGAGATCAAAGAAGCAAAACCATTTTTCACAGCACCACGAAAACCATCTGACACTTGGAACTAGAAAATACGAAGTATCGATCGAAACATCTGATTCGACGCACGTGGCGTGTTATGATGAACACGCCACATTGCAGTTTTTCTTTGTTGATTTATTCAGTTTCAATTAGAAATCATGATTCTAATTCTTAAATTAGTGCCATGTGTGATAAGATACATTAAGACCAAATCCATTCGATTGAAGAAGCAAAGGCAACGTTAGAAGAGCAAATCAAGTCTAAGATACCGTAGTAACGAGAGACACGTCTGCCTTAGTTACCGTATTTCACGAGCTTTATGGGTGGTCATGCATCCTGTTTATTCCTGCTTTGACCATTCACCTGCGTTTGCCTTTTTTTGGCTTACTTTTCTTCCATCATTGTGCAGAGTGCTTCTTTCATTCTTTTTCTGTTTACTTTCAAGATTTGGTGTTTTCTTTTATTTGCACAATTCAGTGAAGCTCGTTAATATTTTGCGAAGACTACTTTGTCGATTGACTCGTATGTGCTGTGTGTTACCATATTTGTGGTGAAAAAAAACTAGTTAGTTCGTCTTCCCACTACAACTTTTCTTTCTGAGAACAAAAGGTTTGGGATTTTCTATCCGAATACATATTAAATTTTGCCACAGCACTGCTTGTCCTAGCATGGAATCGCTCTGAACATGTCCATCCACTATATAGACTACGCTTACGAGTTCCTTTCGAGTTTATTGAGCTAGTTGTTATTTCTAATCTACTGAAGTTTGCTATCTCTCGCTTCACTGGTGGGGTTTTATATGGATATTAGTATAGGTAGTTCAATTTTGAGTTTCGCCACATTGAATGATCTCAGTTTGGATTTCGTGGAACGCATAGAATCTGTTGCCCTTTCCATGCGTTTGAGAGGAACTTCGAACATTGCAAAGCAGTTTCCCTCACTCATTATTTCTTACTGTTGTGTTTTACAGGTATGCGCTACTTGGGTTACCTGTTGACGCTACTCCCTGCTGTCGTAGCTCATCAAGCTAGTCATTTCCCCGGACAGGATGCGAACAAGCCTCCTGAGGTACTAATTTTTTGTTTTCTTCTTGAATATGTTCTCAGTTAGGTTCAAATGGTTGACCAACTTTGTTATTGGTCATTCTCGTACCTATCCTTTGTACCAACAAGATCGCTTCTTAATAAGAAATGTTTCTGTAATAAGGTTGAATGTGCATCCCCGATGTCCTCACTCATCTAAGCATCCCCTTCACTTTTCATTTGTTCTTAGTGTATTGTGCAACATTCATTTTGGCAGCTCTTGGTACCGTACCTCATCGTTTTCTCATTGTCAGTTTTCTTCTGCGTTACGGTATCCACAGTTTGTAGCTTCACTAACATGTTTTCTGTGCCTTGCCTATCCAATTGATGATGCATTTCCTCAACACTTAGCTGTTGAGCAACTTCTTTGCTTGTTCTCTCCGTTCGTATCATTCTACGTCATATCAGAAGTTGATCGTCCTTACCATGAAAGTTCCCTCGGTGACTATAAGGCCACAGTTTTTCCTTTACTCTTGACTCAAAAATAACTTTTGACGTAAACAAGAAATGGTCATTGCGCAGCTACATTCTAATTTTTTTTTTTGGTTTCTTATTTTTTCCTTGAATTTGTCACTCCTACCCGCTAAATGAGAAGGCGTTGTGAAACTATCTATTGAGACCTTGAACTGGGGAAAAAAGTGAGGGGAGAGAAGAATTCAAGGGGTCAATGCCTCGGTTGTGTACTTATAATGCTATTTCAGATTCATCATCAGCAACCACCACCACAACAGCAGGTGCGTTGATATTTCTCTTTCTTTTTTTTATCTAGTCAAAGTAGTAGCTCGACATCCATGTCGATAGCCGTGTTTTCGGTTCTGCTTCTGTATTTAGCTTCTATGTTTTGATTTGGACTTTGTGCACTATGGCGTTACTATAGTTTCTCTTATGGCGCTACCAGATTGAGATGTATACGACTGTATGCATCAATCACATGATTTTACACTTTGCGTAGAAACGGCTTCTGACACAGTGTCTTTATAGCCGTTTAGAACGTTCATGTTTAGTTTTCGTGGAGTTTCTATCGTTTTTGCGGAGGCTAGCCTGTCGCATCTGATCTTCAGTCATGTTGGCAGACCCTTGCTATCTACATTTCCTTTTTGATTCTTCTTCCAAATTCGAAACGGGATTCTAGTCATTTATATTTCCGCGGGATACGGTCAATGAGGAGGTAGAAAGCTTTGCTAGTTAGAGAAGCAGTTCAAATTATTTTTACCTTAAATAGGAATATGGTCTACTTCCGCCGAGGAGTTAATAGTTGCGATCTATTCCAACTTTATAGGTCTATCAGCAGCCACCCCCCGTGCAGCAGGTTATTCTTTTTTATAGACAATGGCTTAATAAAAGCTTAATTTTAATAAATGTCCTAGCAGGGTTGTTTGGGTTCTTTCTAAAGAGGAAACTTTCCCTGTATGGCTTGGTATTATAGGTCCACCAGCAACAACCACCACTCGATCAACAACAGGTTCTGAACTTTACGTTTAGAATCAGTGTGTGAAATGATTATGAGAAATATGGCACAAAAGTTTTTAGGTTTACCAGCAGCAATTACCAGCCTCTCAACAGGTTTACTTTTGGCATTTAGCTTAAAAACCGCCTATAGTTTGTCGGGTTCTTGAGATGGGAGGTAAATTGGTACTTCAGGTCCATCAACAGCAACCACCGCCTCAGCAGGTTTTTATTGTTTCTTCTTGTTGATGTTGTTCGCCTAACCTATGCTTGTTTCGCTGATGTGTCTGACTGGGGTGGTCTTCTTGTCATTAGAAAAAGTGGAAATTTTTTGGTATTTTAGGTTCATCAGCAGCCACCACCTCCCCCTCAACAGGTTGTCATAATTTTTATTTCTCTTTAGCAAAAGCCCTATGAACGGTTTTGGGGAAAGGTTATTTGAAAAAATGTTCCGCGTTTTAGAGTGACGCACATTTTATTTTTGAGCTCCCGATTTATCCATAGAGTTTTGTTTTTCCCAAATTGTTGCAGTCTGATTTGCTAAATGTTGGTGAGGTGTCCATTAATTCATACTGTTACAGTTAAGGCAAAGACTGATGGGACAATAAAGGGAAGGAGGCAAGTGCGCGGCGTGGCAGAAATCAGGCGTGGCTGTAGTGCTCTCTTAGCGAGTGTCTATGACATCCTGCTATCGCAATGTTATCTTTTGGTTTTGAATGGTGTGTTAAGTAGTTATGCTTATTCTAGCGGGTTCATGTAAAGCTCTCACATCTCCAGGAAAATTCCGTAGTAGCCTTTACTTATACGAACTAGTGGCTTATAAAATAAGTTAGAGATCAGATTAGGAAACCTATCTTGAAAGTGGCTATAATCTGCCGGAACTAAAGAAATGTCCCGTAGTTTTGAGAATAACGGTTTAATGTTCCGTTGCAACTGTTTTATGGGTGCAATAATCTACCTTACAACTGAATGAGACCTGGCTTTGACGTAGATTAGGGGGCCATTTGCTGTATGGTGACTATTTAGATGCACCAGCAACCGCCACCTCCACCCGTTCAACAGGTATCCGTGAACTTTTTTGCTTCATGTTCCCTCTTAACCCGTCCTTAGTGTTGTACAATACTAATCTTCTGGTTGGATATGGGTGTCGAATTAATAGTCAGAAAACTCGTAACAACAATGAATCAACTCAGCTTTCTAGGTTCACCAACAACAGCCGCCACAAGCCCAACAGGTTCTTTTTGATCGAAATGTTATTTTGCTCTTGCTCGATCCATTGAATATCTTTTTGGCTGGGTTGATAGGTTGAGTAAGGGTAATCGTGTCATCACTTTATTTATTTGAGCTGTCTTCCTTCCTAGGCTTAGCAAAAGTTCATGTAGTCGTTCCCATTTTAGGTTCACCAGCAGCAGCCACCTCCTCAACAGGTTTCTATTCTTATTCTGGTCGAACCCACCTAACAGTTGCTCGTGTCGTTAATATATCCACTTAATTGGGTTGAATGACAGTGATAGTCCTCTAAATGTGTTTTCTCCTTGATAGTCCACCAAACTGGCAATCTTTTAGGTTCACCAACAGCAGCAGCCACCCCCTCAACAGGTTCCTATATTTACATTTATTGAGCTCACCTAACAATTTTTCTCGAATGAATGTCTAATTAACCAGCTGTTGGGTTTGCGCAGTGATAACCGTGTCGTCTGAATGCGTGTCAATCTTTGTAGGGCCAAGCAAAATATTTGATAGTTGTCTTTATTTTAGGTCCACCAACAGCAGCAGCCACCCCCTCAACAGGTTTTTGATCTTACTCTCGCTAGGCTTTCTTAACGGCTGCTTGTGTGAACGAAAAACTAATTTATTGGTTGATGGGCCTGTACAGCAATAACCATGCTATCTGAATGTCCATCATGTTTTCAGTGCGCAGCGAAAGTTTGATAGTTGTCTCTATTTTAGGTCCATCAACAGCAGCAGCCACCCCCTCAACAGGTTTTTACTTTTCTTTCGTTGACTCTTTTGACGGGTGTTGGTGTTAATGAGTATCTTCCTAGCTGGTGCTGTCTTGTTTAATGCCACATTTTAGCTGTTCAGCAAGAAACTTGGTAGTCGCTTTTTTTAGGTCCATCAACAGCAACAACCACCCCCTCAACAGGTTTCTACATTTACTTTTTTTCTACTAACCGGACAGCTGTAAAATAAATGTCCAGTCTAATTGATTTGGTAACCTAATGCGGCAGCAAATATACCTACGTCCAAAATCGATTAACCTGGAAGTGCTTATTCGGCACGAGCCTATCAACTAGTTCTTGTATCTGATTTTACTTTAGGTCCATCAGCAACAACCTCCACCACCTCAGCAGGTTCTCAATACTAGTAATATTGTTCATCTAACTGTTGCTAGTTGCAATTAACACCTTGTCTTTTGTGTTGCTAAGATTACGGGGCAGCATCAGCCAGACTTTTGGATTTCGATATCTGCAGCATTCTTTCAGTCAACAGCTTGGTTCACGTTATTTGTGGAAACCTATAGGATAGTCTGTCTTGGCTGTTTGCTTGAATTGTGCACATGAACTGGATGCAGGGCTTTCGCAGTGTTGGCTAAGTGAAAAAGATGACATGGAATTAAAAAGTCATCACTCTTGTCTCTACTTTTGCTACTATTGCTGAAAGGTAGTGCAAACAGTTGGACCGTTTGGCAGCAAACATGGAGAAGAACACTTACTTGTGATAGTGCTCTGCGAATGTTGCGAGCCCGGTGCAGACTGAGCTTTGCAGTAAATCCGAACTCCGTCATGAGCTCTTTCTTCCGGCTATCACTTGCTCTGTTTTTTGTTTCCGCCACTTTGAAGGGCATCAGCCTTCTTTGGCGGCAACATGAGCAGCTAGCAACCTCAAGTCTCTTTTGCGAGCACCGAGTTCTGCTGGTTCTAATAATGTAATTTGTTACGTGACTGCTAGATTGCTTGTTCAACAAGCCATTGCTCAGTTTCTGGAGTGCGTCGATTATAACAAATGTGTATATGTGCTACAACTTGGTCTCCGTCTAGTCTTTGTGCGTTGGTAGCGCCTTCAGTAGTTCTACTCTGATGTGCTCGATTAGCTCCTTTTGAAGTGCTTATTTGTCGCATTGTTGGCCTTCACAGCTTACTCAGCTAATTCCAGGGACACCATCAACAGCCGCCACCCGCTCAACAAGTCCCACCAGCTCAAAATTTCGGTGGAGAACAGGCGCGAGATGAACAGTGAGCTTTTAATCTAGCATAACACCTTAAAGACTGCTTTGACGAAGATCTTCATTTTTTCTTCCTAGAAATGTTTCTATAATATTATGTAGTGTCGGTCACACCATATGGTAGAAGTCGTTTTATTCATTTCGTTTTATTCCAGTCATATCAAGGAGCACCTTGATGGAAAAGTTGATCCCACAGCTAACATGACACCAGAACAGCTGCAGTTCCACTACTTTAACATGCACGATCTCGACAAAAATGGGAAATTAGATGGCATCGAATTGATAAAAGCAATAACTCACTTTCATACCGGTGAATGCTTTCAGATGTCTTTTTTTCCTCTTTTAACTCCCTTTTTCTCCTCCTAACTCAACCACTATTTTACAGAAAACCCTGGTCCTCAACATCAAAATACTAACCAACCTCCTCCTCTACCTACCGAAGTGGAGCTGGAATCGATGATTGACGCTATACTTAAGTATGCTTTTTTCGGAAGGGTTTCTTATCAGTTGATAATGCTTTAGTCCAAGCACCAATTCCAATTCAGAGATGACGATTTTAATTCTGATGGTTACATTGACTACGGGGAGTTCTCGAAGGCCCAAAAGATGCGTGAGGACCAAGCGAGGGCGCAACAACAACAGCACCAACAACAGCAACAACAACAACAGCAACAACAACGTCATTAATTAGAGCGTTGATGAAGTTAGTCATATGTCCGCTGTTATTCAGTCAGCTTTCAACTAGGGTGATGGGTGACGTAAGCCTACATTCTAAGCCCGTTTTACGAACCCGTTTTACTTTGTTATGATTGATTCTTTCTATTTTCGTTACCATTGGACTGGGAGGTTTGCTTCATATTGCTTACCTCTCGCGAACTGGTATGTGGAAGTCCTAGGTATTCTTCAGTACGTCTTACAGGAAATAGGTGACAGCCCTTTAGTACTTTGTTAGAGGTAGAGAAATTGTCTATGCAATTCGAAGTTCATGCCAGTTTGGGAGTGGCAAAATGTTTCATCTTTCATATCTTCTGGGTGCTTGGGTTTCGGAATTTTTTCAGTCACTTCAACTACTAATTGATGGTACTTACGGTAGCTACTTTAATGATATGGTCGCTATTCTGCTAGACATAATATACTTACGCATAATTGAAGTCTGTTGAGTTTGTGATATTGCATTGTTCTCTCACCCGTTCACATGTGATTGTTGTTTTACATATTTATTGATAAATGATGCATTTTCCTTTGACCGATTTGTTTTCAGAAAGGCATAACTTTTTTTTTCGTTGATATTGAATTATTGAAGTTTTCAAGTCGATTGGTCTGATTAGCGACCTAGCGACCTTCATGTTACCATCACTTCCATAGTCCAGGATGGGCTTTTAGAATGAACCCGAAAATTCGGATTCAAGCTAATATGGAACTTGGTGCGGGCTGTTTTATGTCGTCCTACACAAGAAAGCAATATACTGGGATAAGAGTAGAGCTTCCAGCAAGGCATCCCTCACCTTCAGCACTGCCGCGGTGGAGCTCTGCCGCACCATTAGTCCACAACATTGCT